CTCAACATCACTAATCATAAGGGAAATACAAGTCAAAACCACAATGAGATACCACCTCACCCCAGTTAGGATGCCTATTATCAAAAAGATAAAAGTTAACAAATGCTGATGAGAATGCAGGGAAAAGAGAACACTTATGCACTGTTGGTGGGCATGTGAATGAGTAGAGGCAATACGAAAATCACTGTAGAGGTTTCTCAAAAAACTAAACAGAGAACTAACATATGATCCAGCAGTCCCACTACTGGAAAGAAAATCAGTATATCAAAGGGACATCTGGATTACCACATTTACTGCAGTGCTATTCACAATAGCTGAGATATGGAATCAACCTAAATGTCCATCCATAGATGAATGGGTAAAGAAAATGTGGTTTATATGCCCAGTGGAATACTATTTAGCTATACAAAGGAATGAAATCCTGTCATTTGCAGCAATGTGGATGAGCCTAGAGGACATTATGTTAAGCAAAATAAGCCAAGAACAGAAAGATAAATACCTCATGTTCTTACCTACATGTGGCAGGAAAAAAAATTGAGCTCATGGAAATAGAGAACAGAATTGTGAGGCTGGGAAGGGCAGGGGGAGGGGAGAATGAGGAGACGGTATTAATGAAAACAAAATTACAGCTAGAAAGGAGACATGAGTTCTGGTGTTCTGCAGCACTGTAGGGTGAGAACCGTTAACTCTAATTTACTGTATATTTTCAAAAAGCTGAAAGAGAAGATTTTAAATGTTCACAACACAAAAAAATGATAAATCACTGAGGTGATGATATGCTAATCACCCTGATTTGGTCATTATACATTGTATATATGTATCTAAATATCACTCTGTATCCCATAAATATGTACAGTTATGTGTCAACTAAAAATAAAATAATAATAAAAAGTATAGTGTAGTAAATACATGAACCAGTAACATAGTTGTCTGTTATCATTAGCAACTATTATGCACTGTACATAACTGCACTTGCTATGCTTTTATACAACTGGCAGTGCATTCAGTTTGTTTACACCAGCATCACCACAAACATGTGAGTAATGCATTGCACTGGAATGTTATGATGGCCATAACATCACTAGGTAATAGGAATTTTTCTTCTTCACCAAAATCTTATGGGACCACCATCATATATGCAGTCTGTCATTGACAGTGCCTGACTGTACACTCCTTGTGTGAGTTAAAAGTGAGTACCCCTTTCTCAAGACTCTTTACTTTCATGTGAGAAAACTATCTTGACTTTCTTTGTTAAAATATTTTTTTGATATATACCCAAAAAATTTTTGTAACAAATATGAACATTCACAGTGTTACCATAAGCGTGGTGCCCCAGAGGGTTGTGTAGTGCACAACACATAATGTTTCTGTCTTAGATGACCCTCAACTCTGACTATCCCACATCATTGACCACCATGTCAAGATTATGTCTTTAGGTCTACATTAAACATATCATAGTATAAGGCCACTTTTAAGATTGAAATTGAACATTTTTAATTTCTGTGCTTTTATTAGCCCTAGAATAGGAAACATTTGAAGATTATGGGCTTCTGGGAAGGATTTTACTTACACATTTTAAACAAGTGGGAAGCTGTCTTAGTCCATTTTCTTCTGCTATAACAGAATACCATAATCTAGAGCCTGGCACGGTGGTTCACACCTGTAATCCCAGTAGTCTGGGAAGCTGAAGTGGGTGGATCACTTGAGGTTGGGAGTTCAAGACCAGCCTGGCCAACATAGTGAAATACCGTCTTTACTAAAAATACAAAAATTAGCCAGGCTTGGTGGTATATGCCTGTAGTCCCAGCTACTTGGGAGGCAGAGGCATGAGAATTGCTTGAACTTGAGAATCAGAGATTGCAGTGACCCCAAATCATACCACTGGACTCCATCCTGGGCAATAGAGTAAGACTCTCTCTCTCTCTCTCTCTCTCTCTCTCTCTCTCATATATATATATATATATATATATATATATATATATGTATATATATATATATATTTATGTGTGTGTATGTGTGAATGTGTGTGTATACCATAGTCTGGGTATTTATTTGGCTCATGGTTCTGGAGGCTAGGAAAGGATAAATCTTTGTGTTACATCATAACATAGCAGAGGGAAATAGGCATGCAAGACAGAGAGAGAAACTAAGCCAAACTCATCCTTCTTATCAGGAGCCCACTCCTGGGATAACTAACTTATTCCCACAATAAGGGCTTTAATTCATTCATGAGGACACAACCCTCATTTCCTAATCACTTTTTAAAGCCTCCACCTCTTAATACTATTAGAATGGCAATTACATTTCAACGTAAGTTTTGGTGGAGACATTCAAACTAGAGCAGACATTAATAATATACATATATGTTATGTGTATTTTTGTGTTAAAATTGAATAGCCATTTATGTTTAGAGAAAAACATATTACAATTGTCCATTTTAGTAGGGCCCATTTTTCTAGCCAAATACCATGGATTAAAAGCTGAATTTAAGAAAAGAAAGAATCTCAAAAAGTTGTTAAGCAAGGTTAAATCCAGTTTTTCTTTCTCTCACAGACCTTGCGTATGTCTATTTCTTGGAAAATTGGCACCTTATGAAATAATCACTAATAATAGTTATCTTTTAGTGGATTCCTGGCGTCGCCCTCAGCTGAGCACTGTAAGTACATTACTACATTTAATCCTCTCAGCCACCTTATGGGATCGATATTATTAGCTCATTTCACAGAGGAGAAAGCTGAGGCTTAAAGAAGTGATGTAATTTTGCTCCAAGTAAATAGCTGGTAGATTGAGGAGTCAGGGTTCCAACCCACTCTTTTGGAATCTGTAACCACCTGCTCTTAGTCACTGCTGTGTGTCAGTCTCCCTTGGCACAAGATAAAATGATGATTAGGGTAGTGTAATGAGCCTTTTGGACTGCTTGCAAACCAAACTACTGCATCTTTGAGTTTAAAGGGCTTAGTTTAGGACTAGGAGATATGCCACAGAAGCCAAAATCATGGGTGGCCTTTATCTGGGGGATAAAGTTTGTCACTCAGCATCCTGAATACTGTATGCCTTTAAACAAAGCAAATCTGATACCATAATGTGGACAATAACTTAGCCAAAGCATCATTTCTATATATGAAGGCCAAGTAGCATTAACAAACATGCAAATTCTAATTTTAAAATTCGGACATTTTAGAGCTAAAACAGTCCACTCCTTTTGGGCCAAGTAACTGAACAAAATCTTTCCCACAAAGGTGAAGTTCAGTATTTTTATTTCTTTAAAACTCTGACCCATGTCCTTTTTCATTAATGTTGCACTATCTGTGAGAGTCCCTTTGTGGCCCAGAAGAGTCAGTTTGCTCCCTAACACACTTAGAGAAAGATTTGGGAATACTGCAGCATATCATTTCCTCTTTGTGTAGCTTGATGATAACTGGTCTCTTTTCAAACTGTGAAGATGAAATCCGGAGAAGAGTATGAAATATCAGTTTAACAATGACCACTTCCTGCCCCATGAGACAAAGAAGTGAAGGGCTTAGTGATTTTTATGACGATGGGCACTACAGAAAATATTAAAAGCTTCTAAATCCCAGGGACTTCATGACTTTAATTGTGAGGGCCAGCCACATCGACATCACAGATCCTTCCTGCAGTCACAATGCTACTAAGTCACCCTTGGGAAGATGCCCCAGAATCAGAAAGATCTTAGTTAGGATGCAATTATGATTCCTTAGTACTCTGGCTTCCTGAGAAAAAATTTTAAAAATCACAGAGATTTTTTTTCAAAAATATCAAATCAACAAAAAATAAAGTGAAAAATCAAGCATCATGAATTCAGATACTTATGGACTATTCAAGGTCTCTAAATTTCTCCTACTTCACTACTTTTCTTATATTTATTTTTACATATAAACAATAAATCCCAATGAAGACCCTCAGAAGGTCTTCTTTGGTGCCATAGGGTAAGAACTTAAACAAATTTACGAGAAAAAGAAACACCATCAAAAAGTAAATGAAGGATATGAACAGACACTTCTCAAAAGAAGACATTTATGCAGTCAACAAACATGAAGAAAGCTAATCATCACTGGTCATTAGAGAAATGCAAATCAAAACCACAATGAGATGCCATCTCAGGCCAGTTAGAATAGCGATCATTAAAAAGTCAGGAAACAACAGATGCTGGAGAGGATGTGGAGAAATAGGAACACTTTTACACAGTTGGTGGGAGTGTAAATTAGTTCAGCCATTGTGGGTGACAGTGTGGTGATTCCTCGAAGATCTAGAACCAGAAATACCATTTGATCCAGCAATCCCATTACTGGGTATGTATCCAAAGGATTATAAATCATTCCACTGTAAAGACACATGCACACATATGTTTACTGCGGCACTGTTCACAATAGCAAAGACTTGAAAGCAACCCAAATGCCCATCTATGTTAGACTGGATAAAGAAAATGTGGCACACATATGCCATGGAATACTATGCAGCCATAAAAAAGGATGAGTTCATGTCCTTTGCAGGGACATGGATGAAGCTGGAAACCATTGTTCTCAGCAAACTAACACAGGAACAGAAAACCAACCACTGCATGTTCTCACTCATAAGTGGGAGTTGAACAATGAGAACACATGGACACAGGAAAGGGAACATCACATACCTGGGCCTACAGGGTGTGGGAGGCTAGGGAAGTGATAGCATTAGGAGAAAATAGCTAATGTAGATGACAGGTTGATGGACGCAGAAAACCACCTTGGCACGTGTATACCTATGTAACAAACCTGCACATTCTGCACATGTATCCTAGAACTTAAAGTATAATAAAAAAAATTATTCTCTATTATTTTAGAGTTGTTTGATCTTAACAAAGTTTCTAAATGTCTTATAGAATTATCTGTAAAGATATTTTTCTAGCTAACTATAGATGTTATGGGGGGGATGGGGGAGAATTGGGGTAAGAGAGGAAGGGGAAGTGTAAAACAAATTGAAAGCTTCCCTTTAAGGTAAGCCATATGTACAGAAACTGCCCTCAATTAAAAAAAATTCACAGCACTGCAGAAATTGCACTTGCCATAGATCCTGACCTGATTCAGCATTCTGGTTACCTAGATACGGATGTAAACAAAAGTGCCTCTCCAACTGTGACTGCGGAAGAACAGCCAGATGAACCTGATGGCCCTCTTCCTGGCTCAGCCAATGACCAAGAAAAGAAAGCAAGTACTTTTCAATCTTCACATTAAAATTAGAATACTTTGCTCAGCTTTTCTAAAGCTTAGAGTGCTTAAAGAGTTTAAGAAGTCCTGGAAGATTAGTTCTCACACATTTCCTGTTTGTTCTGTCTTGGCAAAATGACTGCTGACAACACAGCTGAAAAGAAAAATGGCCTCAATTTACAAATTCATTAATTAGACTGATTTTTAATACATGGGGCAAAAATGTTTTGAGTTAATCATGATGTATTTTTATGTAGATTCAAAAGGAACCATGATAAACTCAAGGTGCAGACTTTATCTCTAACATAAAAACAGTATAGCTAAATAGAATATTCCTTAGAATTTGTGATATTTCTCCATTAGCTAAAAAGAATATTTTTTAAAGTAAACAGTGTTTTTAGACTGTTTTTGTACTTCTCTTAACACCTTGTAATTTATATAACAAGAGGCAGATGCCGTGTCATGTTACATAAAGAACTAGCACAATATGAAACATTGATTTTCAGTAGGTATTATATAGGCTGTACCACATACGAGCTGTGGGACTTTGGAATGATTACTTAACCTCTCTGTTTCTTTTTCTGTAAAATGGGTGCATTAGGCTTATCATGCAAAGTTATTGTGGGTTTGAATGAGTCACTTAAGTAAGTGCTTAACAAGTAAGTAGGAAGGTCTATTGTATGATTATCATCATCATCTATATGATCTTGGGTAAGTCCAGTACTTCTCTGATCCTGAAAATCTTCACCTATAAAAAATAATCATCTTTATTTCTTTCCATAGTAAGGGTTTCAGCTACTTAAGGTAACTAATGTCATCCTTACACTAATGTAAAGGTAATGATACCACTTTGTAAGGCATCATGTCAAATAAAATTATGTCATATACAAAAAAGTATTTTGTAGCACATAAAACCAAAAAGCTATAACATATTAAAGTATTATTATGAAATGAATAAAAACTGATACATGAGAAAAAAATTCCCATAGTAGCCATCAAGTTGTTTGATTGTGAGACAATTTTTAAATATAATAACATGCTAGTTTGTAGGAATGAGGACAAAACAGAACTCCTATGCTTAATTAGCAAAGATATAAAATATAAATACTGTCTTAGATTAAAAGACAGTATTTAAATTAAACCCTAAAAATTACAATTAAAAATATGCACCAAAAGCCAACATTAATGGCTCTTGTTCTAGGTAGCAAAACTACAAGTGAGGATTTTATTCTGTATCTTTAACCATTTTATATTTTTCCAATATTCCTCCATTGTTGGGCTTAACATTTGTCACTTAAAAAGTGTGTGTTGTAGGTGTGCTTTTAAGAAGATGCTACTTATGGTCTTTCAAATAAGACTTAAAAATCAATAAAGTAAAAATAAAACATAAATTTAATTGTTACACTCCAGAAGGAGAAAGGAGTTAGTGCCTTTAGACACAGTATTCGTCTTACACTTTAATTCCACAAATACTTGGAGAGGGCTACTGTTTGCAAACCTATAAGGAAGTACCAATCTGGTTGCTGAGGAAATACCAGAAATAGACCCCCCCACAGACCAGAGGGAGCAGTGGAAAGGTGGCCAGGAAAGAACTGACAATGAAGTGGGTGAGGGTCTCAGAACCCAGTACTGTTCCAGTGGGAAACAGGAGTGAAAATGCCCCATGGCAGAAGGCATCAGGACCTCTGAGACTTAGGACCGTTTCCATAATGTGGGTACCTGAGTACCCAGTGAATCTGTAGATCCATTCTCTAGGGTAAGATGTAGCTTAGCAGCATCAGACCCATTGCAGACCCCATTCAGTAATGGGGGGAGGGTAAAGCTCTCTCCCCAGGGCTCACAGAAGCCTCCAGCTTGTGCTGCCTGCCCACCACCAAGAGGGCTGGGTCAGGAGAGACAGTCAGGCATTCTTTATTAGTGTCCTTGATAATGAACTTAACATTTTTTCTTTAAGTGTTTTTGGAGGATGGAAGTATCCAATTAAGTTTCTTAGAACTTAAGAAGTAGTAATTCCTTGGGCATTTGAAAAAGGAATGCTTTCTGTATGTGAGTCTTAGCCTATGCTGCCCACCGTTACAGTACACAGTAACATAAAGCAGGAAAAAATATCCTAGGAATACATTTTGTTAAAGTTTTTAACTGAGGTGGAATACCACTCATATTCTCCATATTGGCTCCAGTTCAGCAATAGGCTATTAAAATTAGGATCAATCTGTCTTATTTTTTAAACTTAAAAGAATATTAGAATTTAAGGCATTTTGGGGATACGCAAAACAGTGAGTACATTGGGTATCTTATTTCCTGTCATAAAAATGCTGCAAATTATCAACTTTCAGGAAAATAGAATTTTCTAGTAGTAGCATTTTATTGAATTAGAAGTTATCAGTTAAATGTACATGTGACCAGCTATACTTAATGTTAGTAAATTATGTATATGACTGTGCTCTAAATAATAATCTGATATCCAGGTACTTGGACAGGTTTGTTTTCTAGTTTAGAGGTTTGATTTTGAAAATGAGGTGTCTCTCCTTAGAAATCACAATGTTAGGAATCATTCACTCTGTGAAGACATGTTTAGTAACTGAGTCAATAATCATTAGATATTTCATTTAAAGATTATCTAAGAATAATTTATGGCTTTGGCTTTTCCAGAAAGGGTTTCTTGACTGATACCAAATCTATGAAATACAACTCTCTAGTATCTCCACAGAACTTAATTTTGGTTTTAGTCATTAGCAATACAAAGGGGGCATGCGTAAGATTAACTGGGCTGATTATCTGGTCGATGGTATATATTTTGTTTAAAATTAAAATACTTTAAAGATAAATTGGATAAAAGTAATCTGTAAAGAAACGGATGATATATTCTGAATCTGTAACGTTTGTTTTAGGTAAGACTATCTCCAGCCAAAATGTCAAGCAAGAATTCTGCAGATCTAGTTGAATATGTTGACAAGTAAGTGTGTAAATTACAACTAGTTTTAACTATTAACTGCATAACTGTGACAAATTTCACACGAAAAAAACCCTGCATTTAATTATTCAGTCAGAGACTAATGTGCCTGAAAGAGACCTTTAAGTTCTCTGCGTTCAGAAGAGACAAAATCGTGTCAGAAAGACAAACCTCCTGACCCTGCTCCTTTCTGATTGACAGAACACGCCGATTTAACTATCTTTTCTTTAAATTACCTCTATAGGTTCCCATAGATTTACATGAAAAGCAATGCAACATATTTTGTATTGCGACAATATCAAACATATATAGCTAACATGACTTCAAGTAAACCTGTTAACATTTCATGATAAAAACTCAGGAAATGTTGAAATGTATTTCATTAATCACCAGAAAATGTTTCTGCTGTTTACAGTGCCATACCTGGAGTTCACCCAGGAAAGGTGTACTGCAGAGAAACAACTCTGGGCACTTGGAAATAGAGTAACACACTATTAACACGTGCACATTGTCAAAAATACCCGAGAATGCCAGTTGATGAAGGTGGCATTGCAGAGGCAATGCATATCAATTTGAGTTGTTTTCTATTCTATATGTCAAAGCAGGATTTGGTCTAATGCTGCCATTCACGTTTTCAGGGCACTGGGGATTTAGTCTCAGTCCTTCTACTACTTTGCTGTGTGATGTTAGTCAGTCCCATAAAGTCTCTGAGCTTTAGTTTTTTCATTTAAAAAACAAAGAAGTTGGACTAGAAACTTCATAGAATTTACTGAAGCTTTGAAATAATTCTGATTTTAATAATCATGACTAAAGAAGAAAAAAATGGCCAAATGAATGAAATGAGCTTATTTGAAGAGAAAAATCTGAATACATATTAAACTTTGATTTTTTAAAAAAATTATCTTTAACAATTAAGATGATAAAATATCTTCACTAATTTTTACTTCATTTTTTCCACAAGAATTCCCCTGTCCCTTGGCCAGTGAAATTTAGTACATTCCAAACAGTTCAATCACAGCATCTCAGCCCCTTTTTTCATGTTCCCCATGACTTGTATTTGTTTATATAACTATGAGTCTAGAATTTAGAAAAAAATTAAACCAAGCATGGGGAAAATATGTTTTAAATGTTTAAAAAATGCAATATTTGGATAGATGACATTATTTTCTGAGTTGAGGACAATGAATGTAGTATGCACAAAAATAATTATTATAAATAAATATATTAGCTACCCTCATCTTCCAAGGAGAAATGGGAAACTTGTCCCTACCTGACTCTCTACATGACAAATGGAAAATAAAAGTCATTCTTCTGATCTGTCAAATTCTATTACAAACACACGTGGATTTCTTTAGCTCAAACTGGTGACCTACATTCCAGGAGATGAGAAAATAAATTCCTGGAAAATGGTAATAAACTAAAGCATTCTAAGATAAACTTTTTAGATTTCTTGGCTTTCAGATAAATTAAAATGAAGACAAAGAGGAAAGAATAGTCTGTAATGCAAAGCAAAAGCATGATAAAGATTACTTGACTCTAACATTTATTTCCACCTTGATCTCTCTCTTATCCCTTCTCTTACTATCTAAACTATATATCTAGAACTTTCTATTTATGACCTCACATTGTTAATTCTCTTCTGGTCTTTCTCTTCTCATCTCTCAGAAGAGGCTGCAAACTTCCTAAAGGCAGGCACTCTACGACCTTATGATTTTTGATACCCCTCCAGTAGTTTATCATGGTGTACTGAATATACTTGATGAACTATATTTGACAGACTTAATGGAGAATAACGGTAGAACAACTGAATCATTAGAGCTCTGCTTAAAGCAGCTGATTAACTGGAAAAGCAAAATCGCATTTGGGCATTTCGGTAATCACTGTGGACATTTTGAATTGATGTGTTTAATCCAATAAAATTAAAATAAAGAGCAATGGTTTTTAAAATAACTTCACTGGCTGGGCACAGTGGCTCACATCTATAATCCCAGCACTTTGGGAGGCCGAGGTGGGCAGATCACCTGAGATCAGGAGTTCAAGACCAACCTGGCCAAGATGGTGAAACCCCGTCTCTACTAAAAATGCAAAAATTAACCAAGTGTGGTAACACACACCTGTAATCCCAGCTACTCCGGAGGCTGAGGCAGGAGAATCACTTAAACTCGGGAGGTGGAGGTTGCAGTGAATGGAGATCACATCACTGCACTCCTGCTTGGGTGACAGAGTGAAACTCCATGTCTAAATAAATACATAAATACATGAAATAAAAAACCTCACCCTTCAACTCAAGTTTTCATTGGGTGACAACAAGTGGATTGACATGAAGAGTACTTAAGTAAGGGTCATTATCAACTCATTAAATGGGCTGAATATGTATTACAGGTTTTCAGAGGTTTGGTCTTAAAACCTATATGGGTATATTTACAAGTAATACTGTCAGCAAAGTATAACAACACAGAAAGTAAAAATCCAGGAACAAAAGAGGTAATTCCCAGCCAATGAAAAAGCTAGTGCTAGAGACATGCACGTTTAAGAGACAGGCAGATAGGGTGTGTTTTTACAAAGCCCTTCCTGCCTCAGACAGCTGGAGCAGCATCCAAGCATTATTAGTACTTGATAAATGTTAGGTCATAATAATCCATGGGACAGGGTGAGAAGGGATGCTTGCAGTCTTTGATAGGACAATTATGGTAACATTCTGTTAAAGGTAACAAATAATTCTGATTTCCACATGTGTTCATTGATTCACAATGAGCAGACATCCACTAATTTTATTACAGTGTATCCAATGCTCATTTAACTGAGCAGAAAAGTACCTAGAGCTTTTTTTTTCTGATTCTTCTGCTGCTGCAGTCGTGGAAGGAGCACTAAATGGAGACCAGGGCACCTCAGGCACTCTTGAATTTGCCTCTAAACAGCTATATGACCTTAAGAAAAAGAAAATTTCTTCCCTGGCAGTATCTGCCTGTGCTATAAAATGGGGTGGGGGGGTTCGAGTGATCAGTGATGAGCACCTGCTACTTCTCAACTCTGCCTGCAATTTCTCATCAACATTCTCCTATGAAATAAAGTAAGTGGTTAAGCTTTAGGAATGTACATTATTCTGCCATGGGATTTAATTTTTAATGGAAAATAAATTCTGCCCATAAGTATCTTTCTTTTCTTTAACTGACTCTCCTGGGGGTGGGGGAAGTTTTTCCCCATGGAAAAAAATATTTTCTAAGGTCTCTTTCATTCTTATAATTCTTTGATCTTCAAAAACTGGTTGTCACCTTTTACTTACTTAATATATATTTATTAAGCATGTGCTATGTGCCAAGAACATGCTAGGCACTTGAAGAGACACCTGTGAACAAGACAGACAAAGATTCTCAAATGTGAAAATAATTTGACAAGAAGCTCCCTCGGGGAGCTATCTTATAATGCGTTTGGAGCCATTCTAGCAGGAAGGAGAGAAATGAATTATTAGATAGCTAACCGGAGTAGGCTCATTAAGAAGTTGGCATTTGAGAAAAGACCAGGAAGTGAGGAATTTGGCCATGAGAACATCTGGGGGAAGAGCAAACTTTCTAAGGCAGGAACAGTTTTATGGTCACAGGAACAGAAAGCGGGCAAGGATGGCTGGAGTGAAAAGGAGGAAAATATAAATTTGAACTATGATAGCATCTGGGATTCTGTTTGACAGTCTCTGGAGAGAATGAATCCTGAGTTTTTGCTGCCCGTGGAGCCAGTTCCAACTTTCCTGAACAAAAAGGAGACCAAGGAAATAAGGTTTTATATTGGGGAGTTTTCCAGGCTGGGCTACAGCCAATATCTATCTCAGGAATTATCTCGAGTACATTTTGTGAAGATGGGGGTCTGGCTGACAGCCAAAGAACTGTATTTAAAATTTGGATACATAAAACTTTCAGCAAGTCAAATGGGCAAAATAATAAATGATTAATGACTTCCCTTCTTGAGTGGAATATGGAATTCAGGGTCTGAAAAAATTCATTTTCAAGCTTTTTCTTAGCACCATGGCAGACATTTTATTATTCTGTGATGCATTGCTTTTGTTGCTACATGATGAAGACAGATATTTCACATTACAATACATGAGAAAGGAAGACAAAACTCTGTTGGTAGAACTTTCTATGGATAGATCATGTGAGGTTGGATGGCACTGCTGTCAGCCACAGTGCAGTCTTTTACTCTCTCTCTTTCTCTTTTCATGCCCCCCGCCCACCTGTGATGGGCAAGGCTCTGCTGTGAGTGGACACAGTCACAGAAATTGGACATTACCCGTGGTGACCCCCAGTTAGTGAGGGCAGGGGCTGCCCAAATGATGTTCAGTCCCTCTCAGGAGGTTGTCTAGATTCTTGCCCCATTTGAGACCTTCTGCTCAAGTGTGAGAACTCCACTGAGGTCGGGCTGATGCGGATCTTAGTTCTCCAGAGCAGAGAGGGAGCCCTTTCCAAACTCTGGGCCTCTGAGAAGACCCTTAGGACTCCAAGAAGAGGTGTAAGCCAGGCAGGAAAGGTGAATTGGTGAAAAATTACATGATATTGGCAGCAAGTTACATATTAAGAAGCTGAGGGAAAGACATACCTTTCTCCTCTGAGAAAAGTGCAAATGTAACAGGAAGAGCCACTAACTAGCCTAAGCAAAGCTGCTGTGATAAAAGAGAAGGGGAGAGGTTAAAATGTTTCCCTGCTGTGTTACTGAGAGCTGCCAAGCTGGTTTCCTCCTAAGTAGAGACCAATTTTATTTATGCCACAGGGTAGTGGCAGGAATGCAATGAAAATGATACCTTGACTATAAGCACTAAATAGAAATAAGATAGTGTTGGAATAAATTCCCTACATTTCTTCTGGGCTAGGAACTCCCTGCCACAAACTGGGTGGCTTTAAACAATAGAAATGTGTGACCTCACAATTCTGGAGGTTGGAAGTCCAAAATCAAAGTGCCAGCAGAATTGGTTCCTTCTGAGGGCTCCGAGGGGAATCTGTTCTTTGTCTTCCGCC